GAGATATTGGCTGCTACAAAAACTTGGGGTGGGTAAAAACTCATGGGGACTAGGATAAATGTCTGAAAGTATGACATAATAGAGAGAAGAAATGCGCTTGATAATAGGAGTACAGGAAGTCCGCTGCTGTGTTGCACATAAAGGCTGAATTATACTGAAATGAACTGTCTTCTGCAATATGTTAAAGTTATAAATACTGCAAAAGGATTAAAGTCTTACATAAGAATTCTAGCAGATATATAATTCTAAATTGCTTTCCCCAAAGTGTTCTATCAATTTATAATACCCCCAGAAATGAATGATGATGACATGATTTCAGCACCGTCAGAAGAATTATATAGTATCAGTTTTTAAACCTTTGTTAATTTAATGAGAAATACTTGGTTCTCATTTACATTGATTTATAGGCCAGTTGAACTTGTAACTATACATTGTGTCTGGAATACATGTTTATTGCTTTCTGCCAATGAGTTTCCCTGGGCACATTCCCCTTGCAATCTACTTCTGCCCAGACTCCCCCAAATCGAAGGACCCATATTTCTACCTCTCAAGAGTTTTACTGTTATCCCTGGTGTTGTTTACACTTCATTTACATTGTCACCTCCTCATAGTATGGATTTCTCTCTGGTGTTTCATGTTTTGCAAACTGCTGTGTAACACTGTGATGCTCTATGAATAATAAATCACAGAGTCCTGTAGTCCTCTGCCAGCAGCCCCCTGATCAAGGGCGGCTTTCAACTGCCTTCGAGTGAGTAGACATAAAGAAGAAAAAGAAGGAACCCTCTCCATGGTTTGGTTGTTTACCTGCAGTGATCAAACAGGTGGCTGACAGGGAGGCATCAGAAACACAACCCACACCAGCTCGCAGAGACTGTTTCCTGGTGGATGCTCAGGGCAGAGCTCTGCACAACCGAGACAGCTGCTGTGAGATCTCGCTCAGGTGCCTCACAAGGTGGGAAGACTCAGTACCCCTTAGCCTTTCCTGTTTATCAAAAGACCCTGTAAGTGAAAATGCCCGTCATCTCAGCGACTTTAGTCAGAGGGATCTGGAATACGTTTAAGTTTCAATGGCAACATTTCCACTAGAAGGTTTGAGCCAAGAAGCCGCAACTTTCTCAGGAGGAATCATTCAGTTCACCTACTTTTCAAACAAGGTCAAAAATATAAAACTTTAATCTATTGTTTTCACCATTTTAAAAAGAAAAACATTTTTCAATTCAATATCATTGCCAGTTGTTAGAGAGATCAGGAAAAAAAGTGGGTATGGTAGAGAAAGAAAGGAGAAAACTATGTCGATGAAAGAGAAAGGAAGAGGGATAGAGAAGTAGGGGTAAAACTAGGTAGACATTATGGGGGGAGGGTAATATTGTTGACAAGGGAAGAAGGAAAAAGGAACCCTTGGAAAGAAATGGATACAGAATAGCATCCAGGTAAGGGGAGTGAAGCACAGAAACTTTCGTTGCTTTACCTATCTAGCTAGGCAATTTCACCTACCTTTCTAAATAATTGTGTTTTCCAAAAAATATATCTGGAAATTTTTTTTTATGTTATGGTGCTGTAGAACACTTTAAATGTACACTAAGGTAGAAGGAACAATTACCAATATAAGGCCTAATCTGGGTTTATCTCTGTAGTCACTACCCCATTCCTGCATCATTTTCATGCAGACTCTAGATATCATACCATTTCAATTTATCAGTATAAATTTCTAAAGCATGATGTATTTTAAAATATATTCCCACAATACCATTATCACATCTATAATAATAAAAGCATAATATGCTAATTAGACCGGATGTCATTCCAAATGACCTGGAAGAAGCCAGGCCTGTGAGGGAAGTCCGGGTCCCCGGTGCCAGAGGGAAGCCAGTGCCAGCAGCCAGGGGAAGGAAGGCCCACTCTTTCACGAATTCATGCATTGGGCCTCTAGTTTAATATATAACACTACTTTCTAATAGTACTGAAGCATTGGTGCTCAAATTTCTATTCATCTTATAAATGTCAATGCTAATGTTTTTGCTGATTTTTATTGGGGTTGTTGTTTCTTGAATGTATAGCTAAATAAGATCCATAGAGATTGGTGATCTGTCTTTTAAGTCTATTTTTACCTATGGATTCTCCTTCTAGCTCTGTATTTCCTTGTGATTTATTGTAAAGAAATCACTCATTTTGTCCTATAGAATTTTCTACATTTTAGATTTGCTGATTGCATTCCCATCATGTTGTTAAACATGCTTCTCTCTCCTTTGTATTTCTTAAATTGCTGGTTGGATGTAGAGAGGTGACCAAATACAGATCAGCTTTTTTTGGAAGTCTATTTCGTAGGTTATGTTTTGTTCTCACACTGGGGAACAAATAATGTTTGATAGTCTCTCTTTTGAGGGTTTTAGTAACCATGAATGATTGATGGCTAGATCCATTAATTCAATGGAGGTTGCAAATGGTACTATTATAATTTTGTACTCTCTTATTTTTTATGAGCTGAAAACTTTCATAAAGGTAAATCATTTCATCAACTTTTCATTTATGTGTGAATTAGTTCTCATGGAAATGATAGGATACATTTTTTAGAGTTTTTTGTTGTTGTTTGTTTTGTTTTGTAGTTTCTTTGCCAGGTTTCAAAATGATTTTATTCATTAATATCTCCTAATAGTGACCAATAGGAATTTAAAAAATATCTTTATGAACATGTAGATTTAACCATAATTTATGTTTTAATAATTTGTAGTTCCTTCTTTATTGATGTTCAAATCATCCTATCTTTAGCCAGTAGGAGCCTATTTAAGTTTCCTCCTCAATCCTTTTGACATTACTTTATAGTCTTTGATAGTGTCATTGCTTTCTGATAATGGCAAGATGTTCCAAGCTTATCTTTTACTTTTCCTCCTCAAATGTGGAATCAGTCAGTTCTCCAAGAAGCCTTGGTTTCTTGAAGTGCAAAATGGTATTTTAATACAAAAATCTGAAAGTTAGTCATTGTTTCTAGACTTTTTAGTAAACAGAGCTATAAAACAAAAATACATACATATGCAAATAACAATAAATCATGAGTTCATCCTCATACTTCTGACTAAATTGAGGATCACTGAGATTTTACTTATTTCTTATACCTTACAGTTGTATCTCCTTCTTCTACACAAAGAATTCCAATTATTAAGATAGTGGGAATAAGAAAAGTAGAATAGTATGCAAGTACTCATTTGCTTTATTCTACAATACACAAATACCAATCTCAGAATAATAATACCAACACTGCTATCAAAAATACCATTGCTGTAAACATTTCGGTTATTTTTTTTCTGTAATTTTTGTCCTTCGGGTTATATCCCACTAGAAAATACATGCAAATAATTGTGCTCCAAGATCACTTAGAATAGTTCTCTGTATTACTTAAAGATTTTAGAGATTGATTTTTAAAAATTAATGTTGTTTCATGATTATGCATAACATACTATTGGTTCCAAAGTCAAATGTATAATACAAAATATTAAAATAAGTCTAGCTTTGACCCTTGTCCCTTCTACTCTTTCCTTTTCCTCTATAAGTAATCTTTTTATAATTTATCCCCCTTTTTTAATAAAACACATTTATAGTCCCTCTTCCACCAGATTAAGCATTCATTGCAAGTATTTCCTCTCTTTTTTCCCATACATCCATATGTTCTGAAAAATGTTTCACAGTAATAGATGGGTTTTTCTTATGCTTTTCCAGCTGCATAAAACTCCTTAAGGTGGATTGCCATGGTCTATTTGTCTAGTCCTCCCTTATAGACATTTCTGCCTTTTTAGTCTTTTGCCATTACAGATCATTCCACAATGATTATCCTTGGTCATACGTTTTTTCATATTCAGCCAGTATATCTTCAGAATAAAATTTCAGAAGTTTGGTTGCTCAGATAAGGGAAAAGTATATTCATTATTTTGCTTGGTATTGACAAATTCCCCTTCAAAGGGTTTGCATAAGAATCTTTCCAACTATAATATATGAGTGTCTATTTTGTCACATCCATGCCAAAGAATTATGTTTTCTAACTTTTAAATGCTAGCTAATCTAATAGGTGATAAATGTTACCTAATGATGGGTGTGGTTGATTATCTTTCAACTCGTTAAAAGACATCTACACTAATAAAAGAGAAACATGGTAATTAGCGTACAACCGCTACCCTTCCCATTGGCTAATCAGCATATCCTTATGCAAATTAACTGCCAGCCAAGATGGCGGCCGACAGCCATGCACTGAAGCGAACAGGGAGGCTTGCTTGCTCCAGTGACGGCGGACTCCAACGTTCCCCGCCTGACTTGCCGGCCTCTCAGCTGCAACTCTAAGCAACTATGTTGCAAATATAGAAGCTAAACAAAACCCTAGAAACCGGCTTTCAGTCAGCCGGGCTTCAGCCAGCCTGACCGCAACATTGTATCAATGTTTTCAGCAGCGAGGCCTCAGAGCTAAAGCTGGCTGAGAATATAAAAAAAAAAAGAAAAAAAGGAGCGGTTGGGAGCTTCAGTCACCCGCCAGCCGGAAAACGGCCCTCAGCCCCTCATCCAGCCTGGCCAGGCACCCAAGTGGAGACCCCCACCCTGATCCAGGACACCCTTCAGGGCAAACCAGCCGGCCCCACCCGTGCACCAGGCTTCTATCCTATATAGTAAAAGGGTAATATGCCTCCAGGCACCGGGATCAGTGGAGCAGTGAGGCCTCCCGCCTCAGGATCAGCGCAGCCTGATGGAAGCCCTGTGTGTTTATGCACCCTGGGGGTGCAGAGGTCCGGTCCTAGGCAGAGGCCTATTGCGAAATTTCCGGCTCTGAGAAGCAGCCTGGGGGCTGGAAGGCAGCTCCTCTGACCTCAGTGCTGGAGTCCCACTGCTCCACCAGGAGAGGAGCAGAGAAAGGCCAGAGCCTCCCTCAAGGTGACCCAAAACCCCCACCCACACCAGGCAGGCTGCTGGGTCTGTGTGCGGAGGACTCACCTCCAAGCCCAGCCGGTAGCCCTGCCACAGCCATGGCATGCCTGGGTGCAGGCCCCAGCGGGACACAGGGTGGCGGTGGGGGCACCTTGAGTCCTGGGCTCCTTGCCTGCCTTAAGCGGCTTCCTCCTGCTTCAGGGCCTCGACCTCCGCCGGCCTCCTCCTCCCCAGCTCCCAGAGCAGCGCACCCACCGAGGGTGCTCCCGGCTGGCCAAGGGGGTGAATGGAGCAGCGGGGACTCCCGGGTGAAGGGTCACCTTGGGGAGGAGTCCCGACACCTCCATGACCCGCTCCAGTTCAGCAACATCCCCAAGATCGCGCGTCTGTACCGCGGACTGTGGGGCAGCGTGATGGCGCCGATGGTGGAGAAAGGCGCTGCGCACGCGGGCGCTGCTGCAGCCGGGGACCTCCTCAAAGGCTTCAAGATGTTCAGCTCCCTCTTCAAGCCCTACATCCGGTACTGCGTGGAGGAGGAGGGCTGCATGGAGTACATGCGCAGCCTGCTGCGCGACAATGACCTCTTCCAGGCCTACGTGACGTGGGCCGAGAAGCACCAGCAGTGCCAGCGGCTGAAGCTGAGCGACATGCTCGCCAAGCCCCACCAGCGGCTCACCAAGTACCCGCTGCTGCTCAAGTCGGTGCTGAGGAAGACGGACGAGCCACGTGCCAAGGAGGCCGTCATCACCATGATCAGCTCCGTGGAGCGTTTCATCCACCACGTGAAGGCGTGCGTGCGGCAGCGACAGGAGCGGCAGCAGCTGGCGGCCGTGGTGAGCCGCATGAACGCCTACGAGGTGGTGGAGGGTAGCAACGACGAGGTGGACAAGCTCCTGAAGGAATTTCTGCACCTGGACCTGACCGCGCCCATCCCTGGTGCCTCCCCGGAGGAGACGCGTCAGCTGCTGTTGGAGGGCAGCCTGAGGATGAAGGAGGGAAAAGACAGCAAGATGGATGTGTACTGCTTCCTCTTCACGGACCTGCTCTTAGTGACCAAGGCAGTGAAGAAGGCTGAGAGGACCAGGGTCATCAGGCCACCACTGCTGGTGGACAAGATCGTGTGCCGGGAGCTGCGGGACCCTGGCTCCTTCCTCCTCATCTACCTGAACAAGTTCCACAGCGCCATGGGGGCCTACACGTTCCAGGCCAGCGGGCAGGCTCTGTGCCAGGGCTGGGTGGACTCCATTTACAATTCCCAGAACCAGTTGCAGCAGCTGCATGCGCAGGGGCACGCGGGCAGCCTGAAGCACCTGCAGAGCCTGGAGGAGGAGGAGGAGGAGGAGGAGGAGGAGCAGGAGGATAAGGAGGAAGATGAGGAGGAAGAGGAGGGTGGGGAGAGTAGTACTTCTGCCGCCAGCTCCCCCACCATCCTGCACAAAAGCAGCAACAACCTGGACTCCCAGCACTGCGCCTCGGACGGCTCCACGGAGACCCTGGCCATGGTGGTGCTGGAGCCCGGGGAGACGCTCTCCTCTCCCGAGTTCGAGGGCGGCCCCTTCAGCTCCCAGTTGGATGAGATGTCCCTCAGTACCACTGCCTCATCTGTCACACCGACCAGCAAGCTGCTGGCCCTGGGCCCCGGGGACGGCAGCTCCTGCTCCATGGACTCCGCCTACGGCACCCTCTCCCCCACCTCCTTGCAAGACTTTGCGACCCCAGCCCCTGTGGTGGAGCCAGTGCCCGGGCCCCTAGATTTACCACAGGCCCCTTCACCCCCGCCCTCTCCCCGCCTCCGCTGCCGCACCCCTGTCCAGCTGCTGCCCCGCCTGCCCCACCTGCTCAAGTCCAAATCTGAGGCCAGCCTCCTGCAGCTGCTGGCAGGGGCTGCCACCCAGGGGGCGCCCCCAGCCCCCAGCTGCAGCCTGTCAGAACTCTGCTTGGCTGCCACAGTCACCTGTGCATCAGGACCACCCTGCTGCTTAACTCCCAGGCCCTGAGCACAGTGTGGAGCTGCCATGCCTGGAGGGCGCGGTCCGGGGTGGGCGCAGCGGGACTTGCCTGGTGCAGCGGGACTTGCTGGGGAGCCGCCCGCCTTCCCGGCGGGCCTCAGGCCCGGCGCCCAATATGGAAAGGCCGCAGTGCGGCCACCAGGCCGTGAAAGCTGCCCTGAAAGTCACACAAAGACAACCTGCTGCTGGAGGGCAGGCATGCGGTGCTCCGGGAAGATTCTGGAGGTAGGGAAGGAAGGTCATAGAAGGGAACAATTGCAAGCGGAGATCCCGAAGGTTCTGAAAGCAGAGGACCAGCTCCTTGCAGACCTGAACTCTGTGTGGGCCTCTTTCTCGGCCCTGTGGAAGCGGTGGGAGACACAGGAGGAGGTGATGGACCGGGGCTGTGCCCAAGGAAGACTGGGAGGAAGCAGCATGTGGACAGGGCCAGGCGGAGCAGGCAGGTCCGTGCAGAGCCCGCTGGAGCATAGCCAGACCCCAAGGCGACCACCAAGCCAGGCCCCAGGGAGAAGTGAGCAGATGCCACTCCACTTGCTGGAGAAGACCATTATGCAGAAAACTAAAGAAATCGATTTTACATCATTTCCCAGGTGGAGAACAGTTGGCATGTAAGCCCCTGACCAGTGCCCAGCCTCTCCTCTGTCAGTCTATCTCACTCTTAGGTACCATGTTCTTTGTTCTCTCTTAACTGCAACTCATTTTTAAACTAGATTGCCTTTAAAAGAAGACTAAATAAAGTTTCCCTTAAGTTATTTAGGCAGTGCTGGGGCTGCTGGGGTTGCTGGGGGCCTGATAGAAGACACAAACACGCAGCGGGGGGCCTGTACCCAGCAGCCCCAAGGCCCACCACCTTGGTGCTGGGGCTGCTGGGGCCCTGATCAAAGACCTGCAGCCCCAAGCCCCGCCGTCAAGGTGCTGGGGCTGCTGGGGGTATCAGAGACACAAACCCGCAGGCCTGGCACCCAGCAGACCCAAGGCCTTGGTGGCAGCACTAAGGAGCAGCAAGCTGAGCAGTAGGAAGCAGCAAGCAGGTGGGCAGTAAGGAGGGAGGGGTCCCAGACTGCGAGTGGGCACATGCTGGGCTAAGGGACCCCCCACCCATCCCCAGTGCATGAATTTCGTGCACCGGGCCTCTAGTTTGTATATATTTCTTTGAACTTTGTTCATTTCTCTAGTCTATTTTTTTCTATAGAGTTCCAAACCTCTTTTCTCTGTTTTTAGAAACTCTTTTATAATATTAAAATGTTTTCCTCTATATTTAGAACTCATTTTTATATTAAAGAGTTTAATCCTTTGTGTATATTATATAATTACAACTATTTTCACTAAATTGTTATTTGTCTGTTTCCTTTGTTTATAGTGATTTTTGTTTTTTGTTTATTTGTGTGTTGTTATTTTTTGCCATTCTGAATTTTTAATGTAATTAAATTTATCTCTTTCTTCTTTTATTACTACTGGATTTTGACTTAAATTTCAGGTCCTTATGAAATTTTTCCTTTTTATTGTTATAAGTCTGAAGAGATGGATCCAAATTTATCTTTTCCATATATTACATATATCCAATTACTTCAACACTTTCATTCGATGCTCTATTTTTTTCCTCTTTTTCTTAAGTATGTATTTGTTATTTAGAAGAATTTGTTCCAATGTTGTTGGGTTTTCTTTTCTAGTGGAACAGGTTTTATTAATTTTGAGGCATATTAGAAATTTGAAAACAAGTATATTTTCCTTGCAAGTGGTTAGATGTGCAAACTAATACAGCCAACAATAAATCCTATATAATAAAAGCCTAATATGCTAAGTGTCGCTATGATGTGCACTGACCACAAACCCAGACGCTCTGACCGGTTTTCCTTGCTGCTGGGGTCCGGCTGATTGGGACTGGGCGAGATGGGCCAGGCATGCCCTGGAGCCAACCTCCTTGCAGTCCCTCTCTGGCCTCTAAAATATTTATTTTAATTAATTTCCTTTCAATATGCACAAATCTGTGCACCAGGTCTCTAGTAAAATAATAATAATAATAATAATAATAATAATAAACCCACAGTGGAGCTAAATCAAGGTAAGTCAATGGTTACTTTTATTCTAATATTTTTACTCATGACCTTAACCCTTTCTTTTTGTTGTTGTTATTTTCTAGTGATTCACCACTATAAATAAATTGAAACTGAGTTGCAACCTCTCTTTCCTTTCCCCTCATTTTTCCTCAAAATCTGATTTGGAAAAATATCTTTTTACTTTTAATTAACTATAAAGCAATCAGCAATCTTATTCTGCCTCTCACATACTCTTCTCATTCTCCTTCCTGCTTTCTTTTTTTTCCCCCATTTTATTTTTTATAGTGTTCTTTACCTTCATTGTCTTGTTTACCTGCTCTATCTACTTTTGTGGGTGAATTTAGAGAAATTAAAAAATGAGCCCTAGCCAATTTGGCTCAGTGGATAGAGCGTCGGTCTGCGAGCTGAAGGGTCCCAGGTTCAATTCTGGTCAAGGGCACATGCCTGAGTTGTGGGCTCGATTCCCAGTGGAGGGCATGCAGGAGGTAGCCAATCAATGATTTTCTTTCATCATTGATGTTTATATCCATCTCTCCCTCTCCTTTCCTCTCTGAAATCAATAAAAACATATTTATTTTTAAAAAATGATGCTGCTCCTAGTGCCATTTTTCCCAGGATTCTCCACTGTTTCTTAAAAAAAAATTTTTTTAATTTAATTTAATTTTTTTGTTTTCTCTAAACAGTAGTTCCCAAAGGGGTTAGTTTTGGAAATTTGTGGAGTTATTTTGATTATCACAGTTATTAAAGAATCCTAAAGGCATTCAGTGACTTTAGGCCAGGGATACTAGACATCTGCAAGGCCTAAAACAGTCCCGTTCAAAAAGAAATTACCCCATTTTCCACTTTTGTCCTATTTCCATGACTTTTAAATGTCTTATTAGATATTCTTATAAGTTAAAAAATGTTGATAATTTTCTATGCTTATAATTTAACTCTGCGGTATGTATAAATTCAAAGTATTTTTTGCACGGTTTCATTTCAATATTTGCTGAATTCCCACGAGTGCAATTATCATGTAACTAAGATAGCTACACTTTGTTTAGTTTGAAACTATACCAAAAGTTGTTCATCATTTGAGGAAATTGTCACTGATGACAATGCCACTCACAGTATTTGAGTAACCAATGCAAGAAACTTGTATCAAAGTACATTTGCAGCTGTTGCATTTACAGCAACTCTTGCAAATGCATCTGACGACCTCATAGCGCAGTTATCCCCTCACATGTGCATATTAAATATGTTATTTCATAATAAATCTATCTAATTACATTTACTTTTAGTTGACCTTTTAGTTCTCTTTTAACTAGGGCATATTATTGATTTTTTTAAAAATATATCAGTGAAATTCCATTTCAGGATGATAAGTACTACAAAATATGTGTTTTGACCTGTGTCAGGCAACAAGGGATCTGGTTGGCCCTGAAAGCCAAGTACAAGGAAGGAGCTTCTACCTTTGGACCACAGGAGCAACATCCACAGAGGTAATGATGCCCAGAGGTAAAAACTGCCCAAAACCCTGGTCGTGGCAGAAGCAAAGCCCTTTAAAGAGTCGTGCTCAAGCCCTGGCTAGTATGGCTCAGTGGGCTGAGCATTGTCCCATGCACCAAAGAGTTGCTGGTTCAATTCCCAATCAGGGCACATACCTAGATTGTGGTTTTATGTTTCTCTCTCACAACCATGTTTCTCTCTCTCTCCCTCTTTCTTTCTTTCTCTACCTCTCCCTTCCTTTCTCTCTCTCTCACTCTCTCTCTCTCCCCCTCTCTCCTCTCTCATAAATTTTAAAAACACATATAAAAAGAGAATGGTGCTCATAAGGAAGCTTGCTCTCACCGCCCTCTGAGGAGGTGTGAGGAAAAATAAAATAATTACATACAAAATGTTAAGATTCTATTGTAAACCAAATAAATATAGATTACTCACCAACTGGATAATCAGATTATATATTGGTCAATTTGTGTGATGTAAGTCATATCTTTATTTATGGAGTACCATAAGCCAGACTTCATTCAACCAATAAAGCTGATGGACTTTTATCAAGCATTCTAGTTGTACATGGCACTGTATTACATATTATATAAGAAAAATTAAATGGACAAAATTAGCTTTCACCAGCTCTTAGGCAGCCACATCTCTGCATGTGAGAGTGTTTTTAGCTAATATTCTGACTGCTTCTTGCTCTGTAATTCTAGATTGTGTGAGAGCAAGTTTTAGCAGCACCAAGCTAACCTGATTTGAACTCTTCTTGTTGGCTTCCAGGCTGATGTTCTCTGTGTCAGTCATTCCCCCTGGATCACAGACAAAAATATATTCTGCCAAACTAGTGAGATAGTGGGAGCACTTGATTGATAATGAGAAATGCTCTGAGAATCTAGTCACAAGTGGCTGTGTAAGTAGAGTATAACGTTGGAGACACCAATGATGAATTATCAGTTTGCATTTACCGTGTGATTCCACTTGGTAGGTCCCAAAGGACAGCCCATTTGCAATTGGATTTTGCCCTTGGAAGCAGCACAATTCATTCACTTTATGATCTCCTCATGATTTTCTGACAGCTAAAATCTATATAGCTCAGACTCTGAAATACTTGTCTAACTTACTCTCAGGAAAATGTTTCCAATGCTTTCGTGGTTTGCAGTGGAACAGTCCTCTATTCTTGGGAATGTTGTGTTTTCAGTTATAATATGTGGGATATAATATATTCAACTAGAGGCCCAGTGCACAAAAATTTGTGCACTCGGGGGAGTCCCTCAGCCCCGCCTGCGCCCTCTCAGAGTCCAGGACCCCTTAGCCACAGTCGGACATCCTTAGCACTGCCACGGATGTGGGAAAGACTCCCGCCACCACTGCTGCACTCGCAGCCATCAGCACCGGCTTGTGGCCGGGTGGAGCTCCCACTGACCACCAGGGGGCAGCTCCTGCATTGAGCGTCTG